TGACGGCTGTTAGCTCTCACAGTGATTTTCACAAACCCACTTCTTATATACCCTGATGATCTGCCAATTCTCTTATAATAAGATTGGTCCTAGGTTGTCAACACTATCAGATTTAAATTTAATTGGGTTTTAGTATCTCGGGCCTGGCTTAAATTAATTGGCTGATCTACAAGCTGGTTGCCTTAACATCAAAACAAGCCTAGATTGCCAGCCACACAGCCAATTGATACATATGTTTCGATTTCAGAACTGTCCGTGCATCTGCAGCTGCTTACAGACTTTTTTAATATCTCCAAGTTTAGAAAAGGACGTCACCTTTTAAAGGGACCATCACTCTTCCCCCTATCATTTTTACAAACAAATTCTAATATCCTGCCTTTTAATTCACAAGTACTCTACCCAATTTTGCAACACATTCAAGGTTCATTCATGCCAGGAGATTTTAGAATTCAATTAATCCTTAGACAATGAAAAGGAACTCTGAGAGATGTCAAAATTCAGTTCCTTTGGGTGAACAAGAGACAGGAAGGATACTGCAAGAATTTGCAACATAATTAACTTCTTCGTCTGGTAACCAATGACTTATATACCACTTTACTTTGGAAGCCAGGCTATCAGTCACATTTTGACTAGAACTCTAGGAAACACAATCAGAGAGGGAGTTCTTAAAAGATGAAGAAGGGATAACCATCTAAAGGACTGCTATACTGAACTACACTTCCAAGGTTTACCCAGTCCACAGTATTGTAAAAACCAATGAAGAAGGCATCACTTCTTCCCATGATCCACTTAGTCCACCAATGGGAGACAAAAGCAGGACTTGTACAGTTAATGGTAGGGCCCTGGGAAGTGTTGCTGAACAAAGAGACCTAGGGGCGCAGGTGCATGGTTCCTTGAAAGTGGAGTTGTAGGTAGACAGGGTGGTGAAGAAGGCACTTGGCATACTTGCCTTCTTTGGGCAAAACATTGAGTAAAGGAGTTGGGACATTATGTTACGGCGGTACAGGATATTGGTGAGGCTACTTTTAGAATACTGTGTACGATTCTAGTTGCCCTTCTGTAGGAAGGATGTTGCTAAACTTGAGAGGGTGCAGGATATTGCTGGGACTAGAGATTTTGAGTATTAGTGAGAGGCTGAATAGGATGGGGCTTTTTTCCCTGGAGCAACGGTGGCTGAGGGATGACAATATAGAGGTTTATAAAATCATGAGGGGCATGGATAGGGAGAATAGCCAAGGTCTTTTTCCTAGGGTAGGAGAGTCCAAAACTAGAGGGCATAGGTTTTAGGTGAGAGGGGAAAGATTTGAAAAGGATTTGAGTAGTAACTTCTTCACACAGAAGGTGGTGTGTGTATGGAATGAGCTGCCAGAGGAAGTCGAAGTGGTGGAGGTGGGTACAATTACAACATTTAAAAGGCATCTGGATGGGTATATGAATAGGAAGGATTTAGAGAGATATGGGCCAAATGATGGCATATGGGACTAGGTCATATTTGGATGTCTGGTTGGCATGGACGAGTTAGACTGAAGGGTCTGTTCCTGTGCTGTATGACTCTATGACCTTAAACTTTTAAAGAGAAATGTTAAGCAGATCAGGCCTTTGCTAATATCAGAGGCATTATCCTGCTATTACCTTAATAAGGATCTCATCCGCACCCAGTTTTAATCTTTGAATTTGTGTCTTAGTTAGTAACTTTAAGCAGTAGTTGTGAAACTAACCTTTCTTTTTAAAAGTAAACACTCAAAAACTAAAATGCTGATCCTTTTTAAATTTGAACACTCAAAAACTAGAATGAGGCTGAATGAGCCGCACAAAATTCGCAGTTCATGGACCAGTCTGTACACACATCTGATGTGGTCATGATAGGAGTCAGCAAGATAGTGCTGAAATGGTGCAAACATGACCTTGTAGAGATTGTCAAAGTTCTGATGGATGAGCTGTATTGTAAGGTAATTAATGGTCACTTAATGGTCAGCATGAATTTAATGTAATTACAAAGACAATTAGAAGAAAAGGGCAGAAAAATAATTTGTAAAAGAGGGCTAGTTCACAACTGGAATTCTTTAACACAACAATGCTGAAGCAGAGTCAAAAATTCCTGTCAAGGTGGAATTTAACAGTTACTTGAAAAGAAGATCACGAAAGTGCCTGGAGACCAAACAGGAGATCTAGATCAGACTAGACAGTTAAGTAGAAATATATTGCTAATTTGAATTTGTCCTGTCTACTGTAGAACAGGAAATATGACTTGGATTGTGTGGTTGTAATAATTATAATATTGTTAATATTTATTACCATTTCTCCACTGAAACTGATACAAATATTTGCACATGTACAGGATAACAGACATCTGGAAATTGCTTTCAGTGATTCTACAATTTCCCAGAGGATGTACTGTCAAGGCCATGCCAAAACTGGCCTCACCAGTTTTCAGTCGATCAGAAATCTATGAACTGACAAGAACCTCCACTCTTTATGGCTCCTTCATGATAACCCTGGAAAAAGCTGTGTCTTTTGAATAAGGTTTAACTGGGTTTTTAATAGTGTGCTAAGTTCAAAATTGGAATATTGGAGAAAAGGCAGACACATTGCAAAGTATTTTATCTACTCTTCAGGGGAAACACAACAATGCCAAATTTCAAACAATGATGTAAATTTCTGTACTACCAAACTTCATAATTTCAACTAAACACTCATTGCCTTGAAAAGATAATTTTCTATTTCCAATATTTCAAATTTCTCCCCTTAATGTCTTAAAGGCACTCATTGACTTGGCCTCCATAGTCTTTCTCCATGTAGAAAATAGTCTGTGCCTCTATTCTTCTTACCACAGAGCATAAACTCACACTTTCCCATATTGTATTCCATCTGCCACTTCTTTACCCACTATCTTAGCTTTCCCAAGTTCTTGTGCAGCTTCTCCACCTCCTCAACCCTACTTGTCCCTCCACAGCCTTCTGTGACAATGACTTCTACTGATTCACTATCCTCTGGCTGAAGAAATTCCTCCTCGTCTCAGTTTTAAAGTCTTGTCCCTTCAGTCAGAGGCTGTGCCTTTGGGCCTTAGTTTCTCTTATTAATTGAAACATCTTATCCACATCCATTCTATCCTGGCCTCTCAGTATTTTGTAAATTTCAATGAAATGATTCTTCTGAACTCCATCGAGTACAGATCCAGAGTCCTGAATCACTCCATATGACAAGTTCTTCATGCCCAGGATGATTCTTATTAACCTCCTCTGGACCCCCTCCAAAGCCAGCAAATCCTTCCAGGTACCATATCCACAAAACATAAAGAGAGATCATAAATTATTTTAAAATCTGTATTTCCTTAATTCAATTTTAAAATGAATTTTGCTGGAATAAAATGTAGTTGCCATTGATCATATGATGCAAAATGACCACACTTTGTGGAACGTTCCAACCTGGACAGACCTTAGAGAATTCTCCTGAAATTTCACACTTTTACCTTGTTTAATAATTTCAGTCAAACTAATACAAAGGAACAGTTGTCACTGTTGAGCAATGTAGACAAGGCAAGAAAGCTCAGGAAATACTACAAAAATGAAAATATCAAAATCTTGACTGAGAAAAAACATTCAGATTTCCCCTTTAAGGTTTAAAAATCTTGCGAATGAGTGGTGGCTACTTTATTTCCATGCATTTGCATCTCATCATTAGTTCAACTCTCCTCATTTCTATATAGCGTCTGATTCTCCTCTCCTTCTGAAAGATGGCATCAGATCCCAACATGAAAGTCAGAGCAGTTACCTGTTAGTGGCTGTTTCAAGGAGCCGCTGGAGATGCGTGTAGCATAGGAAATAAAAAGAATTATAAACGCATATCTGCTTATGGACAGAAGAGGTGAAAGATTTGAATCATTCCCTCCCGCCACGTCCATAACAGAGATGTGTGGCCGTATTCAGCAGAACATGGAGAGACCAGGACTTCATGGAGCAATGCAAAGGTGATGGAGATTTCCAAATCTGGTTCCCACCACCTGTGGTATACCAAAATAAGAATTTGCACAGGACATGGAAGGGAAGAAGAGAAATTAATTCCAATGTGGATCAATGGGAAAAAATTAGTAACGGTGTAAACCAGACTGCTCCCTGGCTAGAATCCCATTGTGCAATAGTTGTATGGATTAATTTTACCGCTGAAGTTCATGAAAATTGTGCCAAGAAGCTGATGAAGGAGCAGCGCTTTGAAAGCTTGTGATTTCAAATAAACCTGTTGGACTATAACCTGGTGTCATGTGACTTCTGACTTTGTCCACCCAAGTTCAACACTGGCACCTCCACATCTTAACTGTGACCACCACTAAAGAGACACTTGCTGCTCAGCAAATGTTTCATAGCTCAGAGAAAACTTAAATTGCATCCATTATTAGCACAGTGATATTTACACTCATTTTGACTTCTCTGTGTTATTGTCAGCAACTTTTTTGTATTATTAGATTGATAACTCTATTGTTTGTAAAGTAACTTGACAGTTACCTTTTATTTTATCACGTTGAATAGGTCATATCTATTTAATGGTGTAATGGATGTGATTTTAGTGACTTTTATTTTGATAGGAAATGTAGTTTAATATATCACAACTCTGAGATTGATGCTTCTTTAATATTGACAAAGTTTATAATATAAAATTAGTTTAATACTAGAAAGATATCAATACTACAAAGATATCAAAATCTTATGAATGTTTTTTACATGTATAAATCATTATAACACTCAATGGCTAAAATCCAGACGCATGTATGCAATGAAAGTGGCCTGACTAATGTTTTAGTTAAAGTTGTTGAAGGATTTGTCCTCATACCACCTTTTCTTTTTTTGCATTATGCATGTTTCTCTTTCGAAATATCAAATATTAGAGATTGAGGGGGAACACAATCACTTGACGAATGAGCCAATTATTGTCCAATTATCTTTGCCTAACATCAACCAAACAGAAGAATATGATCCTTAATTGAACTGTTTGTTTTCTCCATTTAGTGTGACAGTAGTCTTGATGTTATTTCCACATCACCCCCTTGTACATGTGCCCCAGGACCAGCTGGCCCTAGAGGTCTAAAGGTAACATCTTATTTCTAAGAGGCTATAGTATAAAAGAGTTTATCAGAGAAGGAACTTATGACTTGATTAAGTGAACTGAAGTGAATTGAAAGTTATTTGGCAAATGCAGTGATTAATTGACTTAGTCCACAGAAGACAGAAAATAATTTCCTTTTTTAGAAAAAGGGGTCAGTCTTGAATAGCTGATCAATATTAATCATAAAACACAGACCTAATTTAATATCTTTCTATCTAAAACTGACAGCCAACAAAAGATTGTTAGTTAGTAAAAATTTGTGTTACATTGGAGGTCCTGTATTTTGATTTATCTCCTAACTTCATTTATTCAGCTTTCAGGTCCTCATCGCTTTGTTTATCAATATAATTGGTACCTATGTGTACCACGACAACTGGTTGTTCACTGTCTCGCTCCAGAATGTCCTGTAGCCACTCCATAACATCCCTGACCCTCGCACCAGGAGGCAACATACCATCCTCATTTAAAGTCTGCGGCCATACAAGTGCCAGTGTGTACTATTGAATCCTCTATTACTGTAGACTTGTCGCTTGCTTTCCTCTCCTGTGCAGCAGAGCCGCCTGTGATGCCATGAACTTAGCTGATGCTGCTTTCCCCTGAGAGATCATCTCCCCTAACAGCATTTAAAGTGGTATATCTGTTTGAGAGGGGAATGACCAAGGGGAACTCCTGCACTTCTTTCCTCAGCATTTACTTGTCTGATGGTGACCCATTCCCTTTCTGCATGTGTAATCCTCACTTGTGGTGTGACCACTTCAGTAAATATGCTGTCCACAACATTGAGGACTCTTTGGGCAGCTGCTTTGCAACTTACCACCTCTGTTGGGTCTGTCCTGCCAGTGGGACCTCTGGAGAGGCAATAGGCTAGTGGTATTATCACTGAACTATTAACTCAGAGACCCTAGTAATGTTCTGGGGACCAAGGTTTGAATCCCGCCATGGCAGAAGGTAGAATTTGAACTCAATAAAAATCTGGAATTAAGAGTCTAATGATTGTCAGGATGAAAGGAAACCCAGAGATAGTAGGAACTGCAGATGCTGGAGAATCCGAGACAACAAGGTGCAGGGCTGGATGAACACCCTTGAAGGGTCTAGGCCCGAAACGTCAGCCTCTCTGCTCCTATGATGCTGCTTGGCCTGCTGTGTTCATCCAGCCCTGCACCTTGTTGAAAGGAAACCCATCTGGTTCATGAATATCCTTTAGGGAAGGAAACCGCTATCCTTACCTGGTCTAGCCTACGTGTGACTCCAGATCCACAGCAATGTGGTTGACTCTTAACTGTCCTTTGGCCAATTCGGGATGGGCAATGAATGCTAGCCTAGCCAGTAATGCCCTCCTCCCATAAATGAATTAAAAAATTACAAACGACAAATAAGATGTTACAAACAAACATGGTCCTCAATTTTAACTAAATCTCCTACCACTGAAAAGCAGGATTGGGTTGAGCAAGAGTTACTATGTTAAAGTAAATACTACCCCATCAACTTATTCTACTCCCATTTATGTAGGTGGCTATCAAAGAGGTACCTATGAGGTAGCCTACTTAACATGCAAAAGTCATGCCCAGAGGACAGTTAAGAGTTAACTACATTGCTGTGAATCAGAAACTCTGGAGAATGGAAGAGGAACACCTACACAAAATTTTCAACGACAACGGATACCCAAGAAGTTTCATCCACAGATGCCTACAAAACAAAGGACAATCAGAGGACATGGTACAACAGAAGACACTAGCAACGCTACCCTACATCAAAAATATATCAGAAATGACTACCAGTCTCCTAAGACCACATAAGATCATGATTGCACACAAACCTACAGCAACACTGCGTCAAATGTTATCAAAGACTAAACACCCTATATCGGCAGTAAACAAGACCAACGTGATATACAGAATACCATGCAGCGAGTGCAATATACATTACATTGGACAAACAGGGAGGAAACTGATGACCTGGATATACGAACACCACCTGGCAGTGAAAAGACATGACCAATATTCACTTGTCTCAATACACACAGACAATGAGGGCCATCAGTTTGACTGGGACAAAGTGACCATACTGGGACAATAGAACACCAGACATGCAAGGAATTTCTGGAAGCCTAGTTCTCAACACGGGACTCCATTAACAAACATATAGAAATAGACCCTGTATACAGACGGCTGCTGAAACAACAGAACCAGAAGCAACAAGACCATCACACCAGAAGATCATATAAATCTGGAAGGAAACAGAACACCAACGCTTTGATTAGAGGTCACACTGATGATGTTGCCTAGAAGGATAACGAAATGTCTGCACACCACAGAACAACCAGCTCGGCGAGCTAATGAACAACTGGAACCACCATCATCCCAGTACCTAAGAAAGCACATGCAATAGGCCTGAATGACTACCGCCCAGTGACTCTGACCTCCATAATCATGAAGTGCTTCGAGAGGCTGGTGGTGGCTCACATCAGCTCTAGTCTCCCAGCCTGCCTTGATCCCCTGCAATTTGCCTACTGACGTAACAGGTCCACAGTGGACACTATTTCCCTAGCCCTGCACTCATCCCTGGAACGTCTGGACAACAAGGATACCCACGTCAGACACCTGCTCATTGACTATAGCTCCACCTTCAACACCATTATGCCCTCCATACTGATCTCAAAACTCTGAAACCTCTAACTTCAAATAATGCTGATCTTGAGGTTGGTTGGCTCACCAAGCTGGTTTGTTGTTCTGCAGACGTTTCGTTACCGTGCTTGGTAACATCCTCAGTGCAGCCCCTGATGAAGTGTCGGTGTGTTTTCCCGCATGGTTTTTAAACTCTGGGGTCTGTTGCGATGGATTGCCTCACTTCCGGGTTTCCTCTGTAGTGGAATGTATATGGGGTCGAGTTCAATGTGTTTATTAATAGCTGCTTCGTGGAGTGCCATGCTTCCAGGAATTCTCGTGCTTGTCTGCCTAGCCTGTCCCAGGATCTTGGTGTTGTCCCAGTCGAAGTCGTGGTTCTCCTTGTCCATGTGGATTGAGATGAGTGAGTATTGGTCGTGTCTTTTTGTAGCCAGTTGGTGTTCATATACTCTTGTTGTTAGATTCCTTCCTGTTTGTCTCATGTAGTGTTTCTCGCAGTCTCTGCAGGGGATCTTGTAGATGACATTGGTCCTGTCCATGGCGGGGAGTGGGTCTTTAGTTCGGGTGAGCACTTGTCGTAGGGTTGATGTGGGTTTGTGTGCCACTCTGATGCCCAGCGGTCGTAGAAGTCTTGTGGTGAGTTCTGACGTGTTCCCGATGTGGGGTAGTGTGATGAGTCCTGTAAGCATCTCCTGACCCAGTTCTTTGGATATCCATTATCCTTGAACACTTGGAAGAGGTATTCCTCCTCCTCTTGGCGTAGGTCCATGTTGCTGCAGTGTGTTATTGCCCTTTTAAATAGTGTTCGCACGCAGCTTCGTTTGTGTGTGCTGGGATGGTTACTATTGAAGTTCAATACCTGGTCTGTGTGTGTGGCTTTTCGGTGTACTTAGGTATGCAGTTCCCCATTTGTCTTGCGCTCTACCATGACGTCCAGGAATGGGAGTTGTTTGTTCTTCTCCTCCTCTTTGGTGAATTTTATTCCAGTGAGAGTGTTGTTTGTGTGTCTTTTCTAATTTGGTCCGTTTTACCAAATTAGAAGAGACACACAAACTCATAAACAACACCCTCACCGGAATAAAATTCACCAGAGAGGAGGAGAAGAACAAACAACTCCCATTCCTGGACGTCATGGTAGAGCGTAAGGCAAATGGGGAACTGCAAACGAAAGTACACCGAAAAGCCACACACACAGACCAGGTATTGAACTTCAATAGTAACCATCCCAGCACACACAAACAAAGCTGCCTGCGAACACTATTTAAAAGGGCAACAACACACTGCAGCAACATGGAACTACGCCAAGAGGAGGAAGAATACCTCTTCCAAGTGTTCAAGGATAATGGATATCCAAAGAACTGGGTCAGGAGATGCCTACAGGCGCAGCATCAGAAAGATTCTACAAGCCCCGACACACTCATCACACTACCCCACATCGGGAACACATCAGAACTCACCACAAGACTTCTACGACCGCTGGGCATCAGAGTGGCACACAAACCCACATCAACCCTACGACAAGTGCTCGCCTGAACTACAGACCACTCCCTGCCATGGACAGGACTAATGTCATCTACAAGATCCCCTGCAGAGACTGCGAGAAACACTACATTGGACAAACAGGAAGGAAACTAACAACAAGAGTATATGAACACCAACTGGCTACAAAAAGACATGACCAACACTCACTCATCTCAATCCACATGGACAAGGAGAACCACGACTGCGACTGGGACAACACCAAGATCCTGGGACAGGCTAGGCAGAGACAAGCACGAGAATTCCTGGAAGCATGGCACTCCACGAAGCAGCTATTAATAAACACATTGAACTCGACCCCATATACATTCCACTACAGAGGAAACCCGGAAGTGAGGCAATCCATCGCAACAGACCCCAGAGTTTAAAAACCATGCGGGAAAACACACCGACACTTCATCAGAGGCTGCACTGAGGATGTTACCAAGTACGGTAACGAAACGTCTGCAGAACAACAAACCAGCTCGGCGAGCCAACCCAAGCTACAGATCTACTCCAAAACCTTAGAATGCTGATCTTGTTAATGTTGATCTTGCCTAGTGCACATGCTGTGTGGTGTAACCTGTATGCCTTACTCTGTCCAAGTCTTTTTCTTTTACCCTGTGATCTTTATGTCCTTGATTACTATGATCTGCCTGTCCTGCTTGCAAACAAAGTTTTTCACTCTACTTCGGTACTCGTGACAATAAATCAAATCAAATCGAATGATGGTAACATGTTGCAATATTAGCAACATGCCAAGGGGAGTCTTACAGCGAATGTGATAGGATGCAAGGTGGTTAGGGTAGACAGCTAACTTCAGTTCCCTGGGATATCAGCCTATAACCAGACCTATACGTGTATTAGATTCTGAAATCCTCACTCCATTCCATGCCCTCACCCCCTATATGGCCCCGTATTCTCTTGTGACCCAAATGAGGGAGGTGGTGCTGTTAGGGTAATGTCACTAAGCTAGTAATGCAAAGGTTCAGGCAAATGTTCACAGGACATGACTTGAATCCAATACCTCCCCAGTTACAGATCAGTCAAGCAACAAACTGATAATGTCATATTCCTAGAAACATATGTTATAGACAGTGATCCAGACTGTACCATCATCATCCCTGGGTGTGTCTTATCCCATTGGCATGACATACCCAGCAGAGGTGGCATACATATTTGGCACCCTACCTTTGGCACCCTATCCACTTGGAATCCAAAACACCTGTCACCCACCGCCTGACACTTTAACCCTCTAACCACTTGGCACATAAAAAAGGGAAAAGTGACAAACTGCTTGAGATTACAACTCTTTGGAAAATTCAGGCCCATGTTTTTAACAAACGGTAGTAAAAATCTGAATCTCTGTTACTCAAAACGGAGACCAATGATTTTTGCTCGGTTGGGATATTAAATGAGATAGAGTGGGGAAAAGGATTTGAGCAAATCAATCATGATGCAGTTAATGATAGAATCCAGCAGAGTGGTTTAATTGCCTAATATGGTCAAGATGGCAGCAGAGTAGGCTGCACCAACTGGAGCTCCTCCGTTCCTTTTGTTTCTTTCTCTTTTTTTTATCTCTTTGGTTTCTCAATGGGTCTGGGCCCGGTCTCTCAGTGGCTTGTGGCAGGTCCTGGGCCTGGTCTCTTGGCGGCGTGGCGTCTCTCAGCCTAGTCTCCTGGAAGCTCGTGGTGAGTCCTGGGCCTGGTCTCTTGGCGGCATGGTGGCTCTCAGCCTCATCTCTTAATGGCTCCTGGCGGGTCCTGGCCTAGTCTCTCGCTGGCTTGTCGTGGCTCTCAGCCTGGTCTCTCAGCGTCTCTCAGCATGTTCTCTTGGTAGCTTGTGGCGGGTCTGGGGCCTGGTCTCTTGCAGGTCTCAGCCTGGTCTCTTGGCAGCATATGTTGTTCGTTCTCATGTTGGTGTCTCGGCTCAGCGTGCGAGTGGATCCTGCCATGTTCCTGAAGCACCCAAGGGGAATGGAGAGGTGGAAGTTTCAGCAGCAACAACAGTATCTGCAGAGGCTGCTTCAAGAACAGACAGCTGAGGTCTCCCAGAGAGCAAGATAAATGGAGTTCTCATCAAAGACTGTTGAACTTTTAGCTTATTCCTTTATTTTCCCAGTTTAAACTATGAAAGACTTTAATGTAATCTATAAGCTATTTCTTTATTTTTCGAATATTCTATGAAATAATGCTTAACTTTTTAGCTTTCATTTCTCTTACTACTTTGGACCTAAGCTTTTTCTGTACCTAGGTACTTTGGTACAATGTGTGGCGAAATTATATACTTTTCTCTGTGCTCCTATATTTCTGTACTTGAGTACACATAACAATAAAATCTAAAATCTATTTTCAAATTCCTGGCTGTTTGGAAGATCCATTCAGAAAGTAACAGGGAGATAGCCAGTTCAAGACATACTTAAAACTATACTTTCGGGCAGTTGCTTTTCTCGGAGCGATACTCATCCACTTCAATAACTGTGCTGGGGAAGCTCCTTAGAAATTCCTAATGTTTAGTCATTGTTTTTCAAATGATATTACATACCTATATATTGTGATTGCTGTTGTTGTGACAGGTTATTGTGAATGTTAGAAAATATTCTTTGCTTTTAATTCAGTTACGTGAAAGTAATGCTCATAATGGCCAGGCAAGCTGTAAAAATAAAGTTGGCATATTTTGTAAAGTTCTACAAATGCATCAAGTCATAAAGCAGATCCCTTAAACTAATGTGAATGTAGCTTGTGAGGATAATGTATTTGTTAAAAAGAATTGTTACCAGATCCTAAAAGGAATAAACATTAAATTTTTGGTGACTTTTCAGATGTGGTATTCTGTCCTTAGTTTGCTGAGTATTCTGTTTCAGTATGTTGTTTGTGTGAAGTGAAAAAGGCAGATACATTTTTGACAAAGATTTTACTGAAAGAAACTGATGAAGTAATTGTGTTTACAGGCAAAGTTGACTTCAAACATGTTTTTTCTATTTGCATAATGTTGTGGCTTGTGAGATTAATTCTGTGTGATCTATATATTTAGTTACAGCATGCAAATGATTCAAGTGCATCTAAAAAATTGTTTTGTATCCTACATGCTAAGCAGTATTTTATTTTTCAATAATCACTGTGCCTAAACATCAAGTAACATTTATTTCTCAGCTCACAACAGCTGAATTTGCAACAGTGTTGTATGGAACAATACAACTGAAAGGCCTCTGTTTGAGGGGATTAGAAACAAGCTCAGACAATGCTCATTTTAATTTTTAGTTTGGTTTCCTTTAGGGAGAACGTGGAGTTTCTGGGGAACATGGTGATGCAGGAAGACCTGGTGCAGATGGTAAGCCTGTGAGTACTAAATGGTTTACTCATTTGAAGAAAGCTATCGTGGCTTTTTATGAGATACATTTCTTCTTCTAAGATTGATGTTTTAATTTGATCAGAATTTTCCAGCCCTCCCCCCATTATTTTTATTATCAATTGTATTCCATAAAGTTACTCATGTCATACTTAAGTGTATTTTAACCATTTTACATAGTTTTTTTTCCAAATTACTTTGAGTAAAGATGATATTCTTAAAAATCAATTGGTGGAAAATTGACTGACACTAATTGCAATTAACCTGCTCCCATTCAAAATAATACAGGCAGCACGGAAATTTGTGCTGCCTGTTAAGTTAAATGATAGTGGCACGCAACCCAGCACTGAACATACATTTGAGTTGCTGTGGACCTCATCAAGTGTTCTAAGTTTGTACAAGCTGACCATAAATTACTTAGTATATTTAACTAGCTGCGATATAAAACAACATACTGCTTTATATGTGGCCTCATTTCACAAAATATTTTTTGCTTCCCACAAGAGAGGTTGATAAGTATGTGGTTCAGGTGACAAGGGATACAGAATCACAGAATTGTTACATTTCAGAAGGATGCCATTCAGTCCATAGTGTCTGTTCTGGACTTCTGAGTATTTTTAACATAATGTCAATCTCTAACTTTTCCTGTAACTTTACATACTGTTGCCTTCTAAATAATCATCCAGTACCTTCTTGAATACCTCAGTTGAACCTGCCTCCAGGCAGTGCATTCCATGCCGTAAATACACTGTGTGAAAAAATTGTTTCTCACCTTGCATTTGCTTCTTTTGCAAAATATTTTTAAATTTTGCCCTCTAGCTCTCGATCTTTTTGCAGATAGGAGCAGATTTGCCCTATCTCTGCTGTTCAGACCCTTCATAACTTTGTAAATTTCCACAAATCTCCTGCTAGCCTTTTCCTTCCAAGGAAAACAGTCCAAAAGCCTCTCTGCTCCTATGATGCTGCTTGGCCTGCTGTGTTCATCCAGCCCTGCACCTTGTTGTCTCGGATTCTCCAGCATCTGCAGTTCCTACTATCTCTAGTCCAAAGTCTTCCAGTCTTCCCTCGTGACTGAAGTATTTACTCCACGGTACTTTTTTCATTGATGTGTTATGTACTTTCTCCATTGCATTCACAGCTTTCCTCTCATGTGGCACCCAGAATTGTGCACAGTACTCTAGCTGGATCTAACCAGTGTCTTATATAAGTTTATCATAACCTCCCTGCTCTTGTACTCTATGCCCTTATTTATGAAACCGAGAATATGTATGTACTATTAACAGCTCTCTCTGTTATTAACAGCTCTCACCTGTCCCGCAATCTGTAATAGTTTACACACACATACACACAGGTCTCTCTTCTCTTGCACATCCTGTTTTATACTGTCGCACCATTTCTTTTTGTACCAAAGTGTATTGTCTCACACTTCTCTGCAATAAACTTCATCTACCACCCATCTACCTACTTCAGCTGTCTGAAAAATACCCATTAGCCATTACTTAATGTTCCGATCTCTCAGCCGGTTTTGTACCAATGTAGCTACTGTCCCTTCCATTCTATGTATGTTTTCCCTGTAACCAGCCTCATGTCTGTTGTGTGGCACTATATTGAATGGCTTTTGGTAGCCTGTGTATACCACATCAATGGTTTTCCCCTCTTCAACCATCTCTGTTACCTCTTCGAAATATCCAGAGTTAAACTCATTTTTCCTTTAACAAATCCATGCTGACCCTTCCGAATCAATCCACATTTTTCTATTATTAATTGTTTCTGGAGGTTTCCCACACCAACGTTTAACCTAATTTATAGGCCAATCTTTATAATCTTTTGAACAAGGGTGTGATGTTTGCAATTTTTAGATCCTCTGTCACCATCCAGGGAAGATTGATTGCCAGAGCATCTGTAATTTCCACTCTCACTTCCTTTAACTAACTTGGATGCAAATCATCAGATTGTAGTGCTTTAGCAACTTTAAGTAATGACAGCTTATCAAATATCAATTTTAGCCCTCTGAGTGACTGGGTTTCCTCTCCAGTCATTGTGTCCTGGCAGGATTGTCTGAAACGTAAATACAGATTAACTATTAATTTAACATTTCTGCCCTGTTTCTTGTCTCTATTGTAAATTTCCTTTTTGGTCCCTAATCAGCCCTACTGTTCTTTTTATACTGTTTTACTATTGGTTGCTTATAGGAGCTTTAGGATTTCCTTTTATGCCAGTCTTTTCTCATAATCCCCTTTTGCTTCTCGAATGTACTTTTTCACCTTACTTTTGAATCTTCTGCATTCAGCTTGGTTATCAACTACATATGCTACCTGACACCTGTCATTAGAACACTTGTTTTTCATTAACTTAATATTTATCTCTTCGTTATCAAAGAAGTTCTGGATTTGTTTGTCCTACCTTTCCCTTTGGAGAGAATATATCTTGGTTGTATCTAAACTATCTCATCTTTGAAGATAGTCCATTGTTCAACCACTGTTTTCCTGCCAGCCTCTTGTCCCAGTCTATCTAGCCCAGCAGTTCTTGATCCATTGAAGTGCCTGAATTCTCCTGAACACAATCTAGGAATGTTTGTCTCTTACTGCCCTTAATACTGCCATTATCTCAGTCGATGTATGAACAATCAAAGTCTCCCATTGTAACTATTCTATGATGTTTACACCACTCTGTAATTTCCTTGCAGATTTCCCATTAGCTGATGGTCTGTATATTACGGTATAATTCCTTAGCTGTAGCCAAATTGATTCTGAACTTTAACCCTTTGAAACATCCTGTCTCCAGTACTGCAATGCTCTTCTTTACCAAAAAAGGCCACTGTTGCTCCCTTTTCCTCTTTCCTATCTTTTCTGAACACCTTTGTAACCATGAATATTTAACACCTATATCTGCCCATCCTTGAGCAACAGCCCTGTTATTACAGCAATATCATAATCCCACAAGGTAATATGCCTATAATGCCCCAATCTTATTAACTGTACTTCATACATTCACGTACATGCATTGTCACTGTGTAATAATTTCACTTCATTACTTTCTCCCTTACTCTGATTCTGCATACTAATTCACTATTCTTTAGTGCTATCTGCCTCTCCCAGCATTTTGTGTACTCTGATAATACTTTCTAAAATTACCTGCTGGTTCCTATACCCTCTTCAGATAGTTTATACCCTCCCCAACTACTGATATGTTGCTGAGTGAATAAAGGAAAAGCTAGGTCAACTCTTGTATGTTGCATTGAATAAGACAGAAAAGGTTTACAAAGATGTTGCCAGGATTGGAGACTTTGGTAATAGGGAGAGCTGAATAGGCTGGGCCGTTTTTCCCTGGGGCGTTGGAGGCTGAGGGGTGACCTTGTAGAGGTTTAAAAAATCATGAGGGGCATGGATAGAGTGAATAGTCTTTTCCCCAGATATAGAGAGTCCAAAACTAGAGTGCTTAGATTTAAGGTGAGAGGGGAAAGATTTAAAAAGACCTGAGGAGTAACTTTTTCATGGCAGAAGGTGAACGCGTATGGAACAAGCTACCAGAGAAAGTAGTGGAGGCGTGTACAATTACAACATTTAAAAGGCATCTGGATTGGTATATGAATAGGTAGGGTTTAGAGGAATATGGGCCGGTGCTGGCAAATTGGACTAGGTCAGATAGGATGTCTGGTAGGCGTAAACAAGCTAGACCGAAAGGTCTGTTTTCATGCTGTATGACTCTTATAATATATATTTCCTTCTGAAACTCTTAAAAATTCAGCTTATACATGTGCATGCTTTACTAGAATACAATGAGTGGAATCCATGAATTACATGGATTATGGTGAGAAATCTGGGAGAATTGCATGGAAAGTTAAGCAACACGTCCCTCAACTTTGGAAGCAACAAGTTGCATTTTCCAACACTGTTCTGAATATCAAGATGAGATTCTTCCTCAGGGGTGGCAAGATAATGATTGTTGCTTTTTTATCACAGTCGTTAACATAAACCTCGCCTCATTAATATGCAGCTTTCCATCATACTGCCTGCCGGTGGAAACTAGATACCAAGAATTCCCAACATGAAAATGTGAACTGGTATCTGGTAACTGGTACCTGGTACCTCACCGCTTGTTCCTCCAGACGCCCAGGTCTCAAGACACGCTCCATGGGTAGCAACCATAGGCTCCCTGTGTCCACGAACACTGGTATTCTACACATGCCAGCCATGACACATTATAGCGCATGTCTGATCCAACTAAAGTACACATTGTCGCATTAATATTGCACCTTGAGGTGCAAGAATAGTTTGCATGCAGGGACAGACACCCAGTTTACAAACAGGTCCAGTTTGCATCGCATGGCTACTCGTACAGGCCCCACTGCCCCAAAGCAGCCCCAGTATTCCAGAAATCTAAAACACTCGTTCATACAAATTCTCTCCAGCCATGCATTCATCTGGACCACCCTACTTCTGTACTCAGTGGCACGTGGCACCAGAAATAATCCAGAGATTATTACTTCTTTGGTCCTGATTTTACTCTACTTTTTAGCTGCCTAAATTGTGTTTGCAGGACCTCATCCCTTTTTCTACCTATGTCATTGGTACCAAAATGTAGCATAATCGCTGGCCTCTTTTTCCTCATCTTTCAGAATTCCTTGCAGTTGTTTATTGACATTCTGGCCCTGGCACCAGGGAAGCAATATACCATCCTGAAGTCTCTTTTGCAGTTGCAGAAACGCCTGTCTGTTCCCCTTATAATTGAATCCCCTACCACTACAACACTACCATTCTTCTTCCTCTCCTCTTGTGCAGCAGACCCACCCATAGTGCCATGAATTTGGCTTCCACTGCTTTCCCCTAACCAGTCATCTTCCCTAACAGTATCCAAAGCAGCATATCTGTTAGAAAGGGGGAATGGCCACAGAGGTCCCCTGCACTCCCCGCCTTCCTCTACTGTTTGGTGGTCACCCATCCTTTTTCTCCTGTTCAGTCTTCACTTCAGTGTGACCATCTTACTGAAT